ACAGGACCACTATGGGTCGGAACTGACTCCACAGCACTTAACAACAACAACAACAACCACAGCTATCTCTCTGCTAGACTGAGCATATATGCAAATGGGTAGTCACAAGTGGGCATTTAGCTTTTATCCTTCCCGAAGGGATCATTACTGCCTAGATTAAGTCTGAGCCTCCATTTTATACCTCCAGGTAGAACTGTTAACTAAACCTGGATTCCCAAGGTGCCTAACTTCAAGCACATTGCCTTTCACTTGCAGGCAGAACTAATCCTAATGGCAATGGGACATCTTCGTGTGGAGCATGGCAATGAAAAAAACCTGCTGTCTAGACACCTACCCATGTTTTCTCCTTTGTCTGACACAGCTCCCTGTCAGGGTGTGTCAGGGACACTCAATAAACAGCAAGAACCAGCACTTTCCCCAAAGGCCACCCAGCCCCCTCATTCTGCTCAATCAGTGTTCCCCTGACATAATGCTTACCAAGGCCACTCTCAGCCAGAACTCTGCCAGCACATCTGATGGGGCCACTGCACGTGATGCTTGTCAACAACAGAGAAGGACAGAGTAGTCTTCCTGAGACCACCCTCGACAAGGTCACTAACCTGAGGTTTGCTATGCTCTACATACAGGTTCTGTAGTCCTGGTGTGGTGCTGTGGGTTAATGTGCCAGACTCCAAGGCCATTTGAACTGCAAGGTTGGCAGTTCAAGCTTACCAGCTGCTCCTCAGAAACCCTATACAGGGTTGCTATGGGTCAGAACCAACTTGACAGTACTTCACAACAACAACAACATACAGATTCCAGGGCATAGGAGGAGTCTAGGTGCTTCCTCATAGCTTCTGGTAGTGTGCTTGTTAGGAGGGAGGACCATGGAATCTCACTGCCTCCATCTGCTTGCAGCCAAAGAAAATGACCTGATTTGAGGGGCAGATAACCTACAGTGGGGCTTGTTTCCATGGGAAAAGGAATGGCTCACAAATTGGTTCCCATTTCAATTGAGCTCTGTGATGGGTTTTAGACAGAGTAGAGAGCCTGAGCCTCCTCTGTGGACACACTCCTCCAGAGGGCTGGGGCTGGCACCGAGGGAAAGGGGTTCTGTTCTTAATGTAGGTCTTTCCTTTTTGTCTTGGAGGCATGCGTGTGATGACCAGGAAATGTTCCTATCTCCTTCTGCACCATATATATATATATATATATATATATATATATATTTTTTTTTTTTTTTTTTTTTCTGCACCTCATACTCTTGAGATTTCAAAGGGATTCAGTTTGGAAGGGACCTAGATTAAAGCTGACCCTGGATTGTCCTCTCCCCTCTCCCACCCCCCAACACGTGGCTGTTCCAGATCAAAGTCGCAACTTCAGGACCTTCTGGGACTAGGCTGGTACCAATATGAGGAATAAGCAAGTGGAGGGCAATAGGGAGTGCTAGGGATTGTATTTTCAAGCTAGATTGCAAGCTAGACCTAAAGACTTTCAAGTTCAAATAAAACCAAACACATACAAAACACCTTCAACAAAACAAGCGTTCAAGTGGAGTTGGCCCTGTAACCTTTAGCTTGTGTCTTTGGGATACAGACTAAATAAATAGACTTGAACAAAGAACCACAGGGGATTTATGTCCCCATTTTATATGGAAAAGAAGGGGTAAGAGGGAGAGGCAAACACCCAATGGGTCAGCAGCACTCTGCAGAGGAGGAGTAGAGATTTGAACTATGGAGGTTTAAAGAGGTACGAAGAGCCTTTAAAACAGTTTTTGTTTTTAAATGGCAGGAGATCAAGACTAGAAGCTGGGATGTGTCTACAAGTTCCCCTCCCCTATGGAGAGTTTAACTACTTTTTGATGCAGCTGTGTCTGATTTATCCACTCGCCTTATGGAGTGTTATTGTAGGAATCAGAGGATGAGCTGATGATGGTCTGTGGTTACTAAATCTTGGGACCACTGTCAAAGCAAGGGGTGAAGCCTCTTGAGGCTGGATATGATGTGGAGCTGCTGTCTGGGACTATTTAAGAGTGTCAGGAAGATTAACCTCACCTTCCCCCAAAATAGCCTAGGGCGAGTAACCCAAAATGTGCAAGTTACCTGGACATGGCAGAGCATATTATTGACTTACAAAGCGTTGTTCCTTTTCTATTCTTTTTCCTCTTGATTATATCAAAAGAAAGGTCTCTGCGCTTGTCCATCTTAACACCTTTGTAATGCTTGCTAATCACCTTCAGCTCAGTACTTTTGCAGGCAGTAGTATTTAGAATTTTATAACATTCAAACATTTTTTTTTTTACTTTGTGTTCTGGCAGTTTTCTTTGATTTATGGAATGGGATGTTGACCTTTCCAGTTATGATAGTGATCCATTGTTGTTGTTGTTAAGTGCCATCAAGTCAGTTCCAACCCATAATGACCCTGTGCAGGGTTTCTGAGGAGCAGCTAGTGAGTTTGAACCACCGACTTTGCAGTTCAGACTGACTTTGCAGTCCAGTGCATTAACCCACAGTGCCACACCAGTACTCCATGATAGTGATTTACAGTACTCTTAATACAAATAAGTAAATAATAAGTACTGTCTAAGGAGCTCTGGTAGCGTAGTGGTTACGAATCGGGCTGCGAACCTTAAGGTCAGCGGTTCGAAACTACCAGCCGCTCCGCGGGAGAAAGATGAGGCTTTCTACTCCCGTAAAGATTTACACCCTCGGAAACCCTGTACAGGGTCGCTATGGGTTGGACCCGACTCAATGGCACTTAAAAACAACAATAACAACAAGGAGCTCTGGTAGCGTAGTGGTTACGAATCGGGCTGCGAACCTTAAGGTCAGCGGTTCGAAACTACCAGCTGCTCCGCGGGAGAAAGATGAGGCCTTCTACTCCCGTAAAGATTTACACCTTCGGAAACCCTGTACGGGTCGCTATGGGTCGGAACCAACTCAATGGCACTTAACAACAACAACAACAAGAGAAATAATGGTGCTGGTAAGAGGATATGCTAAGCACCATCAGCATGAAAGGGGAGTGAAGAAGGTAAGCTTTGTAGAACATGGTCCTTGGAGTAGGTGAGTGTCACTTTAGAGAAGGATGAGAACACATGAGGAACAGGTAGACCTTGTAGGTCCCAGGGCCAGCACTTAGCTGGACCCAGTCTGGACTTCCTGTCCCCCTCAGGCTTCTGAATTCAACCGAACTGCCACTTCTTATGGGCAGCCCTCCAAGTGTCTAGCTCTGGAGTCATCCTTCTCCCAACTACTGGTCACTGGCTACCTTCCACTGGAATCAGTTAGGACATTGGAGGTCACAAAAGTAGATGTCCAATGAGGATGAGGGAAGGTATCAATTTAGTGGGTGATAAGGTTACGAGTCGGGCTGCCAACCTCAAGGTCAGCAGTTCAAAACTACCAGCGGTTCCGAGGGAGAAAAGTGAGGCGTTCTGCTCCTGTAAAGACTTACAGCCTCGGAAACCCTGTGCAGGGTCCCTATGAGTTGGAAGTGACTCCACGGTACTTAACAACAAAAGTAAAAATAAGGGCTCAGTGTGATTCCATCTTCAGTGTCTCAAGAAAATTTGGAAATCAACATTTTTATGTGACCTCTTACCAGATTTAAGGTTGAAGAATCTAGGTTTTAAGAAACCATTCTCAAGGCCAGATGAACCATGCCTTAGGGGCATGATACTGTTGGGAGCTTCCATGTGAAGATGGCCCGGTCAGCCTGCAGCGTCCTCACACCCAGGTCCTGGAAATGACAGAACTGAGGATACAAAATCACAGCTTGAGGGAGCTGTGCAAGTCATGTGTTTCCCCACAAGATGGGCCCTTCTGGTGGGCAGGGAGGGGCCTGAGTTATCTCTGGGTCCTCAGTCCCTATCTATATAAGAGAAGATGAAAAGGAACAGCTCTCCACTTCTAGGGCCATGAGGCAGAAGTTGGGGTCACTCAAAGCAGAGTTGCTCCCACAGACTCTTGGCTGGGAGGGAGCTCCCAGACAGAATGGGGACGAAAGGTTCCCAGGTCCACAGGATGGTGACTCCAGGAAGCAGGAGGGGTAGTCCCTTGCTCTTGGAAAGGCAAGCTCTCAGCTGGGGATGGGCTTTGACATCAAAGCTGATCCCAGAACTCCTTGAAGGTAGGTTTGGAAAGGTGGGCAAAGCATGGAGATGCTGTTTCATTCTGAATGCAAAGGCCACGAGGTTGGAGTGGCCAGGCGAATTCAGAAGGTGTGGGGCAGCAGCCAGAATGTGCTCCAAGAGGGAGCTCCCAGGTTTGGGAGGCAAGGCGGTGCTCAGAGGCTGCGATGGACAGACTGGGAAGCAGAAGGCAGGACAAGGGCTCCTGGCAAAGAGAGGTTGGGGCGAAAGCTGATCCTGTCCTTCGGTCTCTGGGGCCTCCCCCACGAGTCAGCAATTAGCCCACCGTTTCCATATCCCCACATCCTGTCCAGCCCCAGGATGCAGAGAGAGGATGTAGCGACCCTTCTGCCCTGGGGTGGATGGGCGAGACGTTGGCGCCAAAGGGTTCTTTGGGTGGGGAGCTCTTCCTGGCGTCGCTCCTTCGAGGTCGTTTGCCGCGAAGGTGCGGGCTGCGCAGAGGGTGGCCGGCGATGGGGCTCCCCCCGCGCAGCCCGAGGCTCTTCTCCGACACCGCCTCGGGGTGTCTCTCCTTCTCTGTTAGCGGAGAACGGCGGCGGCGGCGGCGGCGGTGTGAGGAGAAGAGCCGGAGGCGGCGACGACGGCCGTGCCAAGAAGCGCCGGGTCACCGCAGGCTGAGGCGCCTGCCGTCCCCGCCCTCCCCTAGCTCGCCGCTCCTCCCGCCCGCTCCCTAGCCTCCGTGAGCCCGGCCCTCTCCCCGCCTCCCTCTTGCTCCCCGCCCTCCCTCCGCGCCGCGCCTCCTCCGCCCCGCGCCCTGCGGTGCTGCAGCTGCGGGCGGCTCCAGCTGCCCCCAGATGTGGGCTGGGCGGTGCGCGGGCAACTTTCGCGCCGGCTGCGAGTGCGGGGCCCCGGCTGCGGTCCGGCTGCCATGGATCCGCTGGCGGGCGCCGTTTGCCGCCTGCTCTGCCCCGCGCTACTGCTGCTGCTGCTGCCGTTGCTCCTGCTGCTGCCGCCACTTGCGGACGCCGGGCTCGCAGCCGACGCCGCCGACCCCCCGGGTAGGTGCAGCCCGACCCTCACGCCTGCGACCCCGGTCGGTCGGCCAGTCAGCCCAGGCGCGTTCCGGTCCGACTTGGGCAAACTCCGTGCGCCCCGCCCGGGGCCAAGTTGGCCAACTTCGGGGCCGGGCTGGTCGCACAGGGGGCGCCCCGCGGCTCAGGCGGACGCCTCGGGTCGGGGCAGCCTCTGCACACTTGAAGCTCCCGGGACGCGGCGAATGGAGACTGAGCGCTTAGGAGGGCTAGAAACGCCCGGTGGACACGAGCGCAACACCAGCCCCAGTGGGGTTGGGGGAGCCAGTGCAAGGCGACGCCGGGGCTCGCGTCCGGGGACGCTCAGGAGGAGCCTCAGTCCAGAACGTGCTGCCTCGGCCCTGGGGACTAGTTGAGGCAAACTGGAGGGAATCCCCCGAGATCGGAGGGACTCTGCTCCACCTTTTCCCATCCTCGGGCACCCTGGGAGAGGAGACCCACATCAGGCTGACAAAGAGCTGGACTCGGAGGACAGGTCGCCCTTTGCCCGTGGGAGCTGAGTCCTCGCCACTTCAGAGGCGAGCGGTAAGGGCACTAGGGCGACGGGTCCTCGGAGGAGTAGGGGGCCAACTGGGAAAGACTTCCAAGCAGCCCATGCCCTGTCAAGGACGGTAGGTTTAATGGGCCGGAGGACGTACTGGAGGGGCCGTCCCTGGGACATTGAGAGATGTTGCCGGAACCCCAACCCGGAGAAGAGCTGGGACAGAGCTCCTGGCTGGCAGGGTCTCAGAAAGGGACGCCTGGAGGCAGGGGGCTTCGGTTTGCTGGCCTTGTTAACGCCCCTTCCTGCTTGCAAGAAGGCCGGGGAGGTGCAGGCTCGCTTCTGGGGGCTGCCTGGTGTAAGGCTCCTTCTCTTTGCAGTGGGGCAGCCCTGGGGAATGTTAGTCTCCGCTGCGGTTCTAGGGGCTCCGAGGTCTCAGCCTTTCTAACGTCTCTTCCCTGTTGCAGGCGGACCCTTGGGGCATGGAGCCGAGCGCATCCTGGCGGTGCCGGTGCGCACTGACTCCCAGGGCCGCTTGGTGTCCCACGTGGTGTCGGCAGCTACAGCCGGGGTTCGGACCCGCAGGGCTGCACCGGTTTGGAACCCGGGCTTCCTTGGAGATAGCGAGGAAGACCCTGGTGGCCGCCTCTTCTACAATGTCACCGTCTTCGGCAGAGATCTGCATCTGCGATTGCGGCCCAACGCCCGTCTCGTGGCACCTGGAGCCACAGTGGAGTGGCAGGGCGAGTCTGGAGTCACCCGCGTGGAGCCCCTCCTTGGAACCTGCCAATACGTCGGGGATGTGGTGGGTTTGGCTACAGATTCCTCTGTGGCTCTCAGCAACTGTGATGGACTGGTGAGTCTGCACTGCTCTTCTGCTGGTTCCTTGGGCTTTGGAGGTTTGAGTCCTGGGATCCTCCTGGGAAGGCAGGGCTTGCCCTTAAGGGCTTTCCATGCTGCCCTGGTGCTTCGGAAGCCATGCACATCACTGAGAGATTGGCTGGAAGGCAAATTAATTTGGTTGATATGAGAAGGTTACCATGTATTCAGGGTGTTAGGAACTGCCATCAAGTAGCAGAGCAACTGTTTGTCTCCTGACTGCACTGTTGCTCTTGCATCCAGGTATGGGATGGTGTGTGTGTCTGTGTTCACATGCACGCACGTGTTTGGGCGGGTATATCAGGGTGCACTTGCATCTGGGTGCCTGCACATCTGTGTATATGTGTGCATGTGCCATTATGTCTCTATGTGTCTCTGGGTTCCTGCTCATGTCTGTCAGTGTCTATGAAGGTTGTGTTCCCATGCATTTTTTGCATGTGGAATTTATGTGTGGTGTATACATGTGGGTATGTATACATGTGCAGGTGGTGCCAGTCCTGGGAGTGGGCAGTGGTGTTGAAGTGCCCAGTTAACCCTCTGCCTCCTGGCTAACTGGAAACCATTGAGTTTTTTTACACTATGGTTTCCTGTTGAACTCTCCTTGCTTATTCAAAAAGTCAGTCTTCTTTCCCTGGTTTGGAAATGTAAGCTCTGGTGCCCATAGACTGTTCGTATCTTCTGGGGGATGGCCCTGATGGACAGGTGAGGTTAGGGGGCACTTTGGGGACTACCTGGGTCACTTAATGTGACTGGAGCCATGGGAAGTTCTCTGAAATCCTAGGACCCAGAGGGACCATCACTTGGCACCAGAGGGCCTCAGAGGAAGCCTGGATCAATGCTCTGAGAGGAGGCTGACATTGGCGGTGTTCTGTCCAGCCGCTCCGGGCCTGGCACGCAGCAGAAGCCACTGCAGTTTTCTATTTTGGATTGGGTGTGTGGTGGTCAGGTTGACTCTTCTGGCCAGACATCTGAAGCTGCCCACCGTGGGCTCGGCACTAATTGCTGCTCAGGCACTTCTGCTTTCCCAGCCCTGGCGGCCCCTGTGCACACCCATCCTTAGCAGCTGGGGCCTGTCCTGCTGTCTGCAGAGCCGGCAATTAGACCAGGGCCCAGCGACCGCTGGCGAGCTTTTTATGGAGACACAGGAAACTTCACTTGTTGCTTAGGAAAATCATTGCCTTTGGATGGATTTTGTTAGATCCTGGGTATGTTGCAAAAAACAAACCAACCCAAAACTATAAATGTCCTTGGAGGAGTTGGGTTAAAATGGTGCAACTCTTTATAGCTGTTGTTGTCTCTGAGGACATCTTGAGATTCATAGGTGTGCCATGTTTTATACTGGAGGAGAATTTCTTAAATGAAAGAAAATCAGAGCTGGGGACTTGGTGGTGAGAAGGCGGAAGGGGGCATGGTGATGTTTGTCAGCATGAATGTGGAGTATTGGTGCACTGAATACTGTGTCCCAATTAATTCCTGATACAGAGAAGCTCTGCCATTATATCATTCATTCATTCATTCATTTGTTCAGCCAGCATGTGATCTTTTGTGTGTCCTCTGTACTGGTCAGAGACATGGCAGGCCGGGCACTCACCCTGGAACTTACACTCTCAGGGTAGCTGAGAGGCTGAGAAGCTGACAAAGGCACTGAGCATGTGCCCCTGATGGGCTCTTTGAGTGGGTTCTGGAAGGATGAGTTGCCCACTGTAAAAGGTGCAGTTGGCAATCAGAGCAGAGGGAACAGCATATGTGGAAGTCTCAGGCATGAATTGACCTGGTCAGGATAGGCATGGCATGAGGTTATATGCATTGGACACACATGGTCAGAGGCTCCAGTGTACCTCCCTTGCAGCATCCACAGAGGCCTCTGCAGGTTCATAGCAAGCAAGTAGGTAAGCATGAGGTTGCATTTTAAGTTTGGATGCTTAGGTGGGACATGTCTTTCCAAAGGGCCATAGAGACTTTCAGGCCTATTGACCTCCCCTGGCCTAAATCACACCTTTCTTCATCAGCTTGCCTGGCCCTTGAAGCATCTATGTTTGTTTCTCTGCTTTAAAGAAAGGCAGTTTTAGCTTTGTTTACTGTGGAGCACAATCTCTAATCTATTTAGTACAATGGGAGTTTTATTTCATTGCATTGGTCAGAGAATGCTTTCAATTGCAAGTGACAGAAAATGTAAGCCAAGTTAGTTTAAGCTGGAAAGAAAGCAAATAGATCACATAGTAAAAAAGTCTTCAGGCATGGCTGGATCCAGGTGTTCCTTACAGATTATCAGAACTCTTGACATCTCTTGTCTCTGCCCTCCTATTTGTTGGCTTTGTTATTGGTTGGATTCCCTCTGAGGTGAATCAGAGGAAAACAGAAGTGCCTGGTTGACATCCTTTATTGATAACTCCAGTTGAGTCCTGGGTACTGCTCTGACCAGGGCAGGGTCAGTTGTTCCAATGGGAGTCAGGACATGGGGTTTGCAAAACCCCACAAACCAAGAGTGTGGGAGGCACTGCTTCCCAAAGTGGTATGAGATTGTTTTGTCAGAAATTTGGACACTGGGCCACCTAAAGTGATCATTCTATTGGAGAGAGCTAGAGGCGTAGGCCCAAGATTTGTGAAGTACTCTTTAAAAGACATGTGATTTCCAGAGAGGCTGGGAAATGCAGCAGTTCCAGGTTCCCTTGTAGCCACTAGACAGACACTGTTCAAAATAGTTTCAGGGTTAAAGTTTACTGTTTCATGATGTATGAGAGAAGAAGCTTAATGTTAGATTGCTATGGAAGAGTCTTCTTGTACTTTGTAGGCTATATATCATTATTGTTATAGTTACTAGGTGTTGCTGCATTGAGTTTTGACTCACAGCAACCTCTTGGGAGAACCTCAGAGTAGAACTGCCACATAGAGTTTTCTTGGTTGTAACCTTTAGGGGAGCAGATTACCAAGTCTTTCTCCTGTGAAGCCGCTGAGTGGGTTTGAATTGCCAACCTTTCTGTTAGCAGCTAAATGCTTCACCAATATGTCATTAGGGTTCCTATGGGCTACGTGATAGGTCTGCTAATTTTACGTTATTCTTACATGCTCATTAAAAAATCAATGAAAAGCCTGTTGGCATAAAAGGTAATGATGATGGTATGGTGGTTATGTGCCGTGGAGTCCGTTCCAACTCATAGCAACTCTGCCTATGTAGTTTCTGAGGCTGTAAATCTTTACAGGAGCAGAAAGTTTCATCTTTCTCCCGCAGAGTGGCTGGTAGTTTTGAATTGCTGACCTTGGGGTTAGCAGCCTGACTCATAACCTCTATGCTACGAGAGCACCTTAGAATGATGTTGTTGTTGTTATGTGCCGTGGAGTCAGTTCTGACTCATAGCGACCCTGTACAGGGTTTCCAAGGCTATAAATCTTTACGGGAGCAGAACGCCTCATCTTTCTCCCGTGAACCAGCTGGTAGTTTCGAACTGCTGACCTTTTGGTTCACAGCCTGATTCGTAACCACTACGCTAGTAACTCACAATTTGCCACACTTCTACTCTGGGACAGATTCTGTGCTGGGCATCTTGTACATCTTTACCTGGTGTAATCCTTACAGCACCCTTTGGAATATTGTCCTCATTCTACAGATGAATTAATAGGAACTCCAAAAGTTAAGGTAGCTTGTGGGGAGCTTTGCAGCCAGCATTTGAATGCTGTGTGTGATTCCACAGACCTACTAACTCCATTTTATTACTGCCTTTTGGGAATGCCAATAATAATAGTAAAGAAAAAAACAAAACAAGAAAAACCTCAAAGAACTGAGTTTCTTTAAAATCTTCCCTACTCCATTTCTTGGAGACTTTCTTAGTCAGGGGGAGTGAATGAAGTGTGAGAGAATTGGAACCAGGGAGCAGGCCTTGGTGGCCCACTCACTCACCAGTGACCTGCTTGGGACTGCAGTTCTTCATTGGTGGATTGTTGTTGTTAAGTGCTGTTGATTCAGTTTTGACGCAAAGCAACCCTATTAGGGTTTCTGGTAGAAGTCCTGGTGTAGCGCTGTGGGTTAATGCGCTAGATCGCAAGGTTGGAGGCTCAAGCTCACCAACCACTCCTTGGAAACCCTATACAGTGTTACTATGGGTCAGAACTGACTCAATGGTATTTAACAACAGCAACTGGTGGAGCAGGACCCAGAAATTAATTATGCTGCAGCAAGATCATGGTGGAGACACCAATAGGACAGCCTCAGGTCTTTGACAGGACAGGACCAGCAGAGGAAGCCTCCGAAGCTGGGGAGTGGGCAGTGTGTGACCGCTGATCTGAGGCCTGGTGGTACTCTGATTCTCGTGTCTAAGGGAGGAGGTATATACCCTTTCCAGTATGACATCCTGTGTGGTCAAGGCTCAGTGAGGCCCGGGAGTTTCTTCCCAAGGTCTTATGGCACAATGAAGCTTGCACCATTACCTTGGGGATTGGAACTCCCTTGCCAACTGCATCTAGGATGGCACCCACTCTGTGTAGTTTGCTGGACATTAAGAGTCACCAAGGGCTACAGAGAGAAGTAATTTGCTCCTAAAGGGACTGAGGTGAGTTTCATTTTTCCTGAGAAGGTGCCCTAACAAGACCACACGCTGTGCTCCAGTTGGCTCATGGGCTAGAGGTGGGCAGGCAGGTGCAGGGTGTGGGACTGGAATGCCTGGGACTTGCAGGCAAAGCCCTTGTTCAGGGTCCAGGATCTTTCTTCCTCCCAGCAGACTCCCTAGGTATTGGAGCTTTTCAATCAGAGCAGAAGTCACCTGCTCTTAGCAATTTGTACATCTGCTTAGGGTGGTATTAGCCTTCTCTACATTTTAATACCAACTTTGTTGTTTAAGACTGCCTCAATTCAAGTGACAGGAAACTAGCTCACATTAAAAGTGACATGATCGCCCCAGTTATCTGGGGAGTCCTGAGGAGCACCAGCTTTAGGCACAGCTGGATCTGGGGGCTCAACCCTAGTGCCAGAACTTGCTCCCTGTT